CACGCGTGCTGAGATGAGTGCTAACAATGTCGTTTATGTGGACACGAATGACTGGAGTGTGAAGGGTTTCCATCCACGTCAATTATCATGCTCAGGAAATAAAGAGTCACACCAAGACCCCGCATGTGTGGACAGTCTCTAATTAAAGCCAGCCTCTGTGGAGCGTAGGGGTTGGCTAGCAACATAATCAAAATAGAAATTAAAGTCAGGTGACCATTAGAACTAAATATTTCCTCGGGACACAAAATTTCCTGGGTTAGCCTGTTCCGTTTTCTTTAAAAAGACTGCTGCTGTGAGGTTTTACAACTCTGCTAGAAAATATTCAGGTATTCATCCATTTTCAACAACCGCTTGTCCTGTGCAGAGTCACAGGGGTTTGGAACTTACAAGTACAAAGCAGGGAACAACCCAGGATGGGGTGCCACCCAACTGCAGGGCTCACTCACCATTTGGAAAACTGCAGTTACCCTCAACATGTTTTTGGACTGGGGGGGCGGGCGAACAGTCCCCACACCGAGCCATGGACCCTGGTCCTAGAGGTGTGAGACCACAGTGCTAATCACTGCACCACCATATGCCACCACATAGTTTACATAGCCTACAATCCGTAAGTCCACGTATACACAACCGTATAAACACAAAAAATTACAAATAATCATAACTATGACGCCAACTGTGTTTCTCATCATAACGACGATGCATAGCTCCCGTTTAAAAATCTGTTTGCAAGGCCATGTATCAAGTAGGCTATTAACTGAAAGACCATGCAGATTTTGGTATCCGACATTAAAAATGAATTGATTCTGTGTCAAATTAAGTAACATTTACAGCTACTTATCAGGACAAACGATTCTATAATACAAAAGACCGCCGTTTGCCGAGTCACCTTAACAAATACCAACCAAGACCAAATGATGGCCGTGCAAATGTCTTACTACATTTCTGTTAATAAGATATCACAAACGATTTGTGAGAGACCGTTCATAAATGGATTCGGAGGTGCAGTCTGACCAGTCAAACCGACGGTGTGAAAAGCATGTTGAGCCTTTACAATTACCTCAGGGGCAGATGGCATTTCAGCAACTTTTTAATATCAGGTCCACTAAAAGCCGAAAGCGGCGTCTGCGTGTGCGATAAAACGCGGTGATGAGGCGCCCTTTGTCCGCTGCAAAATGATAGCGTGCTGGCAAGGTCCATAAACCCGAGGCATTATCTTCAGGTGGCAAACAAGTCATATAAGGAAAAGAACAGATCATTTATAGGGGAAATGTTTTTTTTTTTAAATATTATTTATAATATTATTATATCAATATCAATTATTATAATTATTATTTTAGTTTAATTATTAATATGTACGTTTCGATGTGTTTATGGAATCCATTTTGCAGGGTTCTGCTGTGGGTTTGGCTAAGAATTAGATTGTTTTATAAAACAACACAAGTCACGAATGGATTCTATCACAATTTGATTGAAGATACGGCACTATTAAGATTGGAAATATTGTGGCTATTACAAGCATTTCATAAACAAATTGACAAATTGTGACTGATATTATTACAAGTCACAGCATATGGTTTTTATAGTTCCAAAACATCGCAACGAAAAAAATGTCCACCCTTTTTGTCTCCAGATTAGATGATCAGATGATGATTACCAAACAGCGGACATTAACACGTATAGGACAGCTATTAATGTTCTGTTTGTCCTTAGAAAAAGTGAATTATTCTCTAAGATGCTCGTCTGCCAGTTTTCCCAAAACTCGCTATATGTGTAAATACCGTTTGTCTCGGGAGCCCAGCTGACGTCAGCCATCATTTTTTTTGTGCATCCATTTCATTTTACCCTGACTATTCTTTGTAGGTTGTCTTGTGTTTTTTGGTACTTGTATGTGGAGCGGTGGAACTAGTTTAAACATGGTTATATGGATGAATTAAAAAATATTCTCCCCCCTGAAGAAATATAAAAGACCCCACCCAGTCCTAAGTTCTTAGTTTAATTAATAAGGGTTGAAACCCCCACCTTAAAATATTCCTGCTACAAACAAGTAAACAGATCCTGCCATTTAAATTAACCCACTAAAGCAAGTGCAATCTAGAAACAATTAATAATTTGAACTGTTTCTGGGGTCACAGCAAATAAAGCTGATGCATGAATGTATCAGTGTAAAACTTATCAGAATAAGTCTGATTGAAAACATGCTTAAGTGACTGAGCACCATTTGCAGCCAAATCCAGATATCAGTAACACGTTTGTTAAAATCTTAGGGCTCATCTGATATTTTGACGAGACTGTCTAAAGAACGAGGCAGATGCCTTCAACCTGCCAGGTTGTCAATTTCTATGGCTTTTGTGTGGCTGGGGTTGTGCATTTCTGAGTATGTACATTCATACTACATGACCAATGTGATACTTTGGATTAATTTCCACTTCGTTCTAGAAACACAAGACAATAGGACCAATGCTAGCTTCTTGCCTTGGTTGTGTAACCATGTGTATATTCTTTCACACTGCCCCCTATAGATAAGTTCCTGGACTTGCATAGTGAGTGAACCACCTTCATGCATAGTGGTTTGAATCCCACAGCACCTGTGTAGAAGGTCTTGAGGATCATAGAAGAACCCTTATACCTCCTTAGTTGCCTCAAATGATAAAGGCGTTGCCTTGCCTTAGTAATCTGTCCATGAATGTGCGTGAACCAGGTGAGGTCTTCTGTGAGCTGAACCCCAAGGTACTTAAAGTTACTTACCCTCTCAACTGGAGCCCCACTGATGTAGAGTTAGGATTTAACAAACATTTAACATTTAACAAAGAAACCCTATCATCCCATCAAGTCATTTGTACCAAAATCTGCATTAATGTTTTGTATAAGTAAAAATTAACCCACTAAACCACATTGTCATTTCCATAACAGTGAGAAAGGACAAAGTGAAAATCAAACATTTTCTTATCTTTCTCCACATACAAGATTTACTGAGTGACTGAGAGACCACATAAATGAGATTCATACAGAACGGAAAAGGTTGTGCGTTTATACATTATACTTGTCCATGTTAAATTTAAAATGTGATTAAAGTAGAATTAAAAACCATAATTTATATGTGTAATGGACGTGTGAGAGATAATTCCAGTTAGAATACATTGAGATGCTCTGAGATGTTTCAATAGCGGTACCAGCCAGACAGGGCAGTAGCTTAGTGGTTAGGGTTATAACCACCCACCTCAAGGGCTGTAGGTTCAGCTCCAGCCTCTTCAAATGAAGGTTACATGTAGGTCATTCTTACGGTGTAGCACATTTTCCCGTCCATTCTCATCAAATGTGTCTTAAAATAATGATCAAAAATTCTGAAGCTGTAGAAGATTGTTTAGTAATTATATTCGTTTACCGTTATGATTGAAATCACAAGTACATGGCCACAAAGGTCAATTTAAAGTCATTCCACCATTTTAGCTTGAACGGATGCTGCCAATTTTGACAAACAGGAAGGAAAAAGTGAACAGCAATAGTAACAGAGGAGAGGTGATAGGAGGAAGTGGAGAAAGCAAGAGAGAGCCGCAACACGTCAGACCTGATGGTCCCCAGCTCAAGGGCACAAAGCAGCATTAGGGTTAGGGTTAGAATGCATTTCAGGATACTCTATTATAAAGATCAATATTCTAATTAAATGACATATTACTACTATGTTATTATGCATGATGGCTATTCATACAGTTCATTTTCCTGAGCTGGTGTATGGTAAAATAATTACTACTTAACTGAATTAGGATTTTCCCATTCCATTAATTAAACTCCGCATGATCCTGCTTATTATCATTTATTACTTACAGTACTTAATAACCCCCCCCCCCCCCCCCCCCCCCCCCCCCACACACACACACACACACACACACACACACTAAAAAAAAAAAAAACTCCGGTATTTTGCAATGTTGACAAGTATGCATAAGTGAACATTTTAGACAGATATAGCCGATGCATAACTATTTCAATACCGTATGGTGTCATGTTGACAAATTTGTTTCAGGTGTGTAATGATTATTTTTGTAGCACAGTAACAGCATTTAGGGAGCGATGTGGCTAAGTCAGTAACGTTGCTATCTCCCAGCATCACCGTTGTGAGGTCGGGCCTTACTCTGCGTGTGTTGAGTGCGCATGCTTCCGCAGTATTGTGTGGGTTTCCTCCCAAAATTTGGCAAAATGCCCCAGGCGTGCTTATTAAAGATTACATTGTTGATCTGAACACAGCTCTTAGCCTTACCTGTCAATCTTCTTAAATTTTGTCACACATTCCTCTCTAATAAATTATGCTGTGTTCATAACGGATGCACTACAGAATTCTAGACATGGCCTCGATATAAATAATTACAGTGATCAAACACACTTTTCAGTTAATGCTGAACTGCTGATCTAGATAGATACAGTTTCGCACGCACACACCTACTCACTCTTGGGTAAGGTTTTTTTCCCTTGTAATTTTATACCACTCGATGCATTGTATCCATCCTCCTAGATTGAGAACAGCGAGCGCAGTTTGGCTCACTCTACTAGTGACTGTGTACTGTCCAGCTAAAAACGTAAACCTGGTATTTCAGGCATTCTAAACAAACAAAAACTAATTTACAATGCGCAGCAGTAGTTTATAGGACACCACGTCCGACAAACGTGCGTTAACGAAATAGCCGCAGCCGTCGTTATTGGACAGCTACACATAACACAGTCTGTAATAACACATACGTTCTATGTAATACACAAGACAAAAGAACTGCGGGTGTCGTTTCTTTATTTTAACAGCGCTTACCTTTTTATAATCAGGCAGTACGTCGGACATCCCTAGCAATTAACATATTAAGACAATTTACTGATACACCGTACTGAAACAACGCTCCCTACTGACCCTTATACTTATACCTGACATGCACAAGAGGCACATGCACCGCATTGTGATTTACATTTATATATATTTTTTGCAGTAATGTGGCCATACGGCGCTGAGGGAGCGGGGTCCTGACGGGAGGCAGTCGCGCGGCCGCCCGCACAGGAAGCGGTTTGCAGACGGGCGAGCCTGGACCCAAGCTGCGGCTATGTTACTGGCGCCTATACTCTTCTCGGCTGCGTGGGTCGGTCGCAACGGCTGGCGTTGCTGGTCGGCGAGTTTTTAGTCCTAGCTGGGGTTGTTTGCGGTATCCGGCATTACCGGGTGCGTTGTGTTCAAACCGTCTGCATCCAGTTAAGAAAAACGGTTTGCTAAGCACAAGAAACACCCGGCCGAGAAAGGCCGGGCCTCGGGGAAGGGGATGTTAGCTAGCTAACGTTGTTTTCTAACGTTAGCCGAGTGTCGGTGGACTTGTAATTAAATTTACCGACTTAAAGCTGTGCTAGGTGGCTAATAAAAGTTTAAACGTTACTCCATGTAAATACGCGTGTGTGAGATGCCAGTAACACTAAGTATAAGCTACCTGCTATAACTGCCGATAGCTCAGGTGGCAGGCCACCCTGCCTGCAGGTTAAAATATCTGCTACCTTTGGAGCAGTGACGCATTTAGTATTGTATTCGTACAAAATTTAATTTATCTCATTTGGGGGGAGAGAAAGAAATGCGTTTTATACTGGAGAGTTGAATTACAACCAACTGGTTGCCGACGAGGCGCTTGCTGGCGAAAGTGGGGACATACCAGCGTCTTATTAGCATCGTTCGCCCTAAAACATTTTTTATTTAAGCGAGAGGTTGGCGGAACAGTGGAGAAAATGTCCGGAAAAGTGTCCCGTCGCTCCATCTGAGTTATAAACGCGGTGAAACCTGGCGCCAGGCTTCCACGTTTCCTCTAGACGTAAACGTCAAAAAGTAGTTAGCCATGAAATCGCCTACCCTTAAGGAGCCGCCACGGTGAATATACGGAACCCAAATGGTAAATAATGCTTTTGTTTTCTGTGTTGTCACACACACGTGTAGCTCCTGACATGTATATCTTGCTTATGTATAAATCCGTTATCCATTTAATATCTTAGACGTCCGGTGTTGCGATTTGTTTACAAAGTTATATATAAACTTTCAGTCGGAGGTCTTTTAATTTTACCTATCTCCGTAAGCCATAATTCCTCATGACCCCTGTGAGCTTTATGTGATTACAGGTCAGTGGCATGTCGATTGAGCCCTGATAAAAGTATTATGGGTCTTAAGTGCCGTAAATCGGTCTTTGGAAATTTGGAATATAATATTCAGTTATCATGTTTAGTAGGTAATCGGTAATCCGTAATAAAGACGAAGGTAGTAACTTAACACGTTAAAATAAAATCAATGCAAATATAAATACGTAAATTAATAGTTCAGGGAATAAGTAAGGTAATTATATTTTTTAGCAAATTCTTTCTGGACATTATAAATTCATAAAATGTCATGTCCCACTGGAATAAATTGAGCGTTTTAATTTTCATAGATAAATTTTTCTAGTTATGCAGTTTCCTTATTGAATGAAAAATCTGTCGTACTTTTAGTAAAAAGTTATGATTATTCAGATTAACAAAAGAGTAAAGAAAAAAACAATACTGTTGGTAAGTTTCGTGCCAATGTTTCACAATCTCTGTGCCTGTTTAACGCGGTCTGAAATTAATGCTTGTTTAGCCGACTCCAAATTTGGGTATTTTTGGTTCGAGCCTCTTATGAATATGTTGACAAAAACTGGGATATTCCTGGATAAAACTCCAGGTTTTAAGAATGTTAACCAGCAAGTTGGATTATTTAGGGGATATCTCACAGCGCCAGGTAAAGCTTAATGCTGCTCTGATGCCTTAGATCTGTGGCATGATCTCTGGGTTTCCTAAATATTTGTGTTATGGAAGTCAGCCTTGGTCATGTGACCAGTGTTTACAAACATTGAAATAGTTCAGTAGCCAACTGTAGTGCACATATTAGCCGGTGCCAGTGGTCAGGGGAAGCAGTTAGTATAGGTTAACCGTTTAACAATGTTTTAAAATCTTTAAATGTAACTTTGGATGCACTGATTGGCAGTTTTTCAAAAACTCAAATCAGACGATATAAATTTAATTGTTAAAATTGAAATTGTTATAACTAACCTCCCAAACTGACCGTTGAGCTGCCTGTTTTTAATCATATTATTTTGATCTTGCAGAGTGAAAGCATGAGAAGGGTCATGATAATGTTAATGTAACAGATGGTAGTACCTGTGTACACCATTCAGGGATTAGGGGAAGTGATGTAAGTAAAAGGTATCGGGTGCACAGTATATTGGTAGATGTTAGCTTTGAGTCTGATGGGCACCCTAAACATTTTGCATTTTATAGAATTTGTGAAGTTTATCTTCTGTTTTTGCTGCTGGAAAAGTGTGATTGCATTTCTAGTAATTTTTTCTAACACTCCCAGCTTTCACTTATTTTTAAATAACACCTTAAAGCAATCTTTGCTTATGCTGTCATCATTGCCGTCATCATTAAATAAACAAAAAAAGAAATGCATGCGGTTCAATTTTGCATGCGTCTTCTAGTTTGGGTGTTCTGCACATTTATGATTATAAAAACTGTTTGTTTCTTTCAGGTTTTTCTACGTTTTCGAACATGGGTGACATGAAGACCCCAGATTTTGATGATCTTTTGGCTGCTTTTGATATCCCTGATGCCACTGGGTTGGATGCTAAGGAAGCCATCCCAGACAACCACGATGAATGTGAGGGCCAGCCAAAATCTGTAGGGATCTGCTTGGAAGACATCTCCACCCACAATATTGCCCAGGCCCCTGATGTTCCTGCTGTCAGTGTGATAGTGAAGAACACCAGTCGTCAGGAGTCATGCGAATCTGGCACAGAGAGAGAAGGGGTCCACCTTGGACACCTCCTGCAGAATGGATTTCGGGGCTCAGGAACCATCCTAGATTCCCATCACATGGTACACGGAAATTACGGGAAGTTTGAGACCACTTTTGTAAATGGAGATCGTTCAGGTGACTGCCCGGATTTGCCAATGGCACCCCATCAGCCTTGTGGGGCATCCTTCACCCAATTTAGTCCTATCTCAAGTCCAGAACCTGAGGATATCCCAGCAGATGGGATTGTTGGACGTCCAAAACAAGACGAGAGGCCCTATTTTCCCTCTGGCTCTGTATTTGGGTCAGAAGAGCAGTCCATGTTGGACAGTCAAAGAAAATTGCATGGGACCAGCATGTGCCGTAAATTAGTTGCTGGGAGCGAAATTTGTAATATCACGGACAGAAACAGGGAATTTTGCAAAACAGAACAGTCCTACTCAGAGGAAAATTCTGTTTGCTCTAATGATGGCCATGTTGAACAATCTAGCTTTAGCAGTCCGGTGTTACCTATGGGTGACCTTCATGGTGACAATCTCGGAGAGACTCAAAATTATTTTCCTTTGGAGTCCAGTATTGGCTTATCCCAGCAATGCATCAAAAGTTCAAGCTCCAAACTGTCATCCTGCCTTGCAGCACTTGTGGCTTTGAATTCCAGGAAGGTCATGGAAGATTCTAAAGATGATGTAAACTCTAGAGATCCGTTAGTGTCCATGAAAGAAAGCCCAAAAGTGCCCAAATCTCCGAAGAGCCCTCGGAGTCCACTGGAGGTCGTAAAGAGGTTTATCAAGCCTCCAGACAGTCCGATGAGCATCTGCAGTGACAGCAGTGGTAAAGCATCCCCCTCTGTGACTACAGGTTCGCCCCCAGCAATTCCGAGAGTTCGGATAAAGACTATTAAAACCTCATCTGGGCAAATAAAGCGAACAGTGACAAGCGTGTTGCCTGATTCAGAGCTGGATGAACTCCAGTCTCCAACCGGTTCTTCTCCCCCACAGATCACCGCTGTCGAAGAGCCACCGACCAAAGCGTCTCCGCTGCACCTGTCACATCATACAGTGAATGACATTGTCTTCGAAAATGGAAGGAATAAAACATTTGACAAATCCACAGCACTTGTGTCCCAGCCCTCAAAGGTTATTCCCATCACATCAGATTGCAGCTCAAAGAAGAGGGTCAAGGCACATTCAGGCACCTCTTCACAGAAAACTAACAGCTCTAACCTGAGGGTTGTAAAGACATTGCAGCAGCAAAAGGGGGTCTCTGTCAGATCTATGAAGCCCCCCAACACCAATTTCCTCCCCAAAGCGGTACACTTGGCCAATCTAAACTTGGTCCCTCATAGCGTTGCAGCGTCGGTTACGGCCAGATCTACCACGCCACGGCCGCCCCAGCTTCCCGGGTCCATGGTGTGCAGCACGGTTCCGCTCGTGCACCAGGTCAAAAGCCCCGCCCCCGCGCTGGGCACCACCATTTCCTGCGGTGCTGTGGGGACCCTGAACAGACTTCTGAACGCCTCCAATCCCATACCGACGTATGTGCCCAACCTGAACCCCCCTCCAGAGTCTCAGATAAGCCTGCCGGCTCGGGGCCACCGGTGCCTGGAGTGTGGGGACGCCTTCTGTCTGGAGGCCAGTTTGGCTCAGCATTACAGCAGGAGGAGTGTGCACATCGAGGTGGCATGCATGCACTGCGCCAAGACACTCGTCTTCTTCAACAAGTGCAGTCTGCTGGCCCACGCCCGGCAGCACAAGAGTCAGGGCGCTATCATGCAGTGTACTCAGCTCTTCATGAAGCCCGTTGCCGCCGACCAGATGTTCTCCCTGGCTGTGCCCACCCCCACTGTGGCCATGCCACCAGTGCCCGTGGGGTCCCAGGTCTTCCCAGGCCCAGCAAAGAACGCACCAGCCATGCCTTTATATCCAGACAAAGTGATACCGCATGGACTCAAGTGTCTGGAATGCAACAAGCAGATGTCAGATGACAGGTCACTGGCAGGTCATTTCCAGAGACTTTCCGAAGAAATGGAGAGACTGGTAAAGTATCTTGTCGTCTTATCGTCATATCAGAACTAATATGAAGGTCACTGTCAATTTCAGTTCTCGAAGAACTATAGGCCAAAATGAGGTATTGTCTTATTCTTGTAGCCTTTGTCAAGACTTTGGTTATTGGTTGAGGGACTGAGGTTGAAAGTCTTTTGTTTCGTACCAGTTAGCTATAAGTTTGAGTGTTCGAGTCTTTATTGGTATCATGAAGTGTCCCCCCCTTTAATTTCTGCTCCTGTCTTTCAGGTCTGTAAGCTGTGCATGATGACACTGCCCAACAAGTGCAGCTACAGGGCTCACCAGCGCATCCACACACACAAGTCCCCATACTGCTGCCCCGAGTGCGGAGCAGTCAGCCACTCCACGGACATCCAGAAACACATCAAGGAGAACTGCCTCCACTATGCACGCAAGATCGGCAACAAGTATGTGAATGTGCAGCCTGGGGTCGGTGTGTTGGGGCTTCGCGTGATGCTGCAGCATTACTCGCTCTGCCTTATTAATAATAAAGCCCCTTGGTCTTCTTTTGTTCTCCTAGGTGCTCACACTGTGATATGTTTCACTTGTCCTTTCATGTTCAAAAGAGCCACATTATGGAGAAACACTGTGAGATTTTCTATAAGTGCTCTCTCTGTCCGGTCGCCTTCAAGTCTTCAGATGGCTGCCTGACACACGTCAAAAACAAACATGACGACAGTAGTGTGTCTCCGCAGTGAGTTTGACTCCCAGAGTATCTTTATTTTCCATGATGGCTGAATCTTTTTTTGGAGTACAAAAATGAAATTGTTGAATATCCACATATTTGAATTCTTATTGCACGTTGTCTCAGTCTGTCAGAGTGATTTTGTTTGATATGTTTGATTCTCTAGAATGATCTATAGGTGCTCCTGTGAAATGGTTTTTAAGAAGAAGCAGCTGCTCTTCCAACACTTCCAGCAGAGCAGCAAAAAGCTCACTACCTGTGTCTTCAAGTGCCCTGAGTGTCCAGTGGTCTTCACACAGAAGCAAATGCTAATGCAACATTTCAAGGTTGGAGACCCCGTTTTTAAGGCCTGGTAGATGTTTAACATTCTGTTCTCTAAGCTGTATTTCAAGCTGCTTTGTTGGCTGAACTTATGCCTGCTGTAGTGTCACAGTCCTCCTCTGCATTTCAGGGAGTCCACAGGAGTGTCCTCAGGGCAGCTGTGGATGAAAGTGCCAAACTGTCTGAAGAGCCTTCACCGCACCCGCAGGGCACGTCGCTGACCCCCAGTCGGCCGCCGACAAGCCGGCTTCTCCGATGTGTGGCCTCAGATGACCAGAAGGACCCAGCTTCCCAAAAGCCAAGTCAGACCAATCTGAAGAATGCAGGCTTGACCTGTGGAGAGTGTCTGCAGTGGCTTCCTGATCGCGATGCCTATCTGTCTCACATGAAGACCAGCCATGGGAGGGTAAGGCGAGCAGCACCATCCAGCATTGGACTGCACCCTGATCATTATTTCTTTTTAAAGCTAATGTCATCTTAGACTAAGCTGAGTGTTACATTGTCGCATAGACAGGAATTGAATTACAGAAGATTGGGATTAATGAGAGGATGACATTCTCTCCCTGTGAATTGAAGTTTATCCTTCTGTGTAATGCTACCTTAGAGCATGTCAGGCTGGCATTTGCTGCCTCTGTCATGACCACGTGAAGTGATGGAGGAGCTGAGGATTTGACACCCACAGTGGGAGGCCTGTCTCTTATTACTCAGTTTAGCTCACTGAATACCGAATTAATAACCAATGGGAAGTTGGTTAAACCACTGCGATTGATGGTGCATGGTAGCCTCACTCACTGATGGTTTTGAAGCCTCGCTTTTGGCATCACTTACTGTGGAGAGAGTGGCTGCATGTTTTGATAGTAACAGCCTCCATGTTTTTAAGTAGGGCACTGAAAGAAAGCTTAAGTTGTTTAGTGCAGATGGGTTTAGTAAAAGCTGGAAGCCATTGTTTGAGGTCAGTTAAATTCCTGGTTATTCTCTGCTGTTTCTATCAGTACTCAAAATTAATTATTGTAGCTGGCATATTGGAGGTCAATGCAGGTATGGGGAATGGCAAACGGGGTATGTGCATTACAGCAATAGGAGAATTCATGGGAGATGGTCTGTTAACAACAAATCTTTTGACATTAGTGGAAAAATGGACTTTTATTCACTACGATATGGCTTGTTCATGTTGCCCTAAAGAGAACTCGGCTTACTGTGTTTCTAGATATTTCGATAGCTGCATGGGATGTGGTCGTAGCTTATCGGGTTCTGCTTTTGAGCATGACTGAAGAGACTCTTAGATTGATAATTCAAGTTCTGCAATTTAACACTCGTGGATTTGTGAACAGAATCCTGACAAGTAATGGTGTCGCAGTATGAGATATATATATATATATATATATATATAAATAAAAATTGCTGTTGGAAAAACAGAAAACACTGTTTCAGTTGTGCTGTTGTTAATGTTTAATATAACTACCATGTATAATTCAATCCAGATGCTGATCTCTGTTGTTCATTGTCTGCAGTCAGTGAAGAGATATCCTTGCCGGAATTGCGAGAGGTCCTTTAATTCCACTACAAGTCTCAGGAGACACATTCGCAACGACCATGGCGGGAAGAAGAGAACCTTCACCTGCTGGTTAGTTGCAGCTTTTTACAATCCAGTTTTTCCCTTGGCTACTCTGAGCAAGTGCTGTCTGCTTGGAAAAAAAACATTTCGTTCTCTACCAATGAAATGTTTAGATTCCACAGTAAATGCATTATTTACGTTACTTCAGGGTTTATACATATCTGGAATATATGGAATATTATACATAGTTGGAATTTAAATCCCCCTGATATTTGAATTCAATTCCCGTTCTGTTCCCCTTCATTTTTTTCCAATCCCAACTTCAGTTCCATTTCCTGATTTGGATTGGAATTGATGAATGCATTCCAGAATGGCCCCAACCCTGATACATATGCATTGTTTAATGGTGTTATTAAACGATTACCTTCAAAGGATACATTTATCTTCACTGAGATGTATACATTGACACAGATTGTGCAGCATAAATCCAGAATTGCTATCTATTTGCATTTCCAATTTTCAAGAAAACATCCAGCTCAAGTTAATTCTGCTATAGCCGGCAATTAAATCTCACATCTCACATCACAAACTAAAATAGTTTATCAAGATGCTGGAAATTTAACCTCACTTCAGTATTAACCTTAAAAGCCGATTTTGTGCCATAACGAAATTCTTCCATATGTAAATGTAACCAGTGGTGTGTGGGTGATGTTAGTTAGATGTTGCATGTGGAATGAATCATTTGTGGTCCACAGTTAAGTAGTTTTAGTTGTACAAAAATTAAGCCATGCATTATGATGGAATTTGTGTAGGCATGTTTGGATGGAAACTTAGTGCTACAAGAGATGATGTTCAGGGGTACAATGGCCAGACACGAAATCGCTATGTGAAGTGGACACAGGGATTGTACATTCTGTTGTAACCATTTCCTCATGGATGAGAGTGCCCCAAAGTTGCAGTCATTTGCAGAAAGCTACATTTCTCAGTAATGTGTTCAGTGTTTCCCCTAGGTTTACAGCTTTGGGGGGGTAATTTGTAAATTTTTTTTACAAATCGCCACAAAATAATTTATGGTGAAATAGCTTAAATTTGGTAGTGAGCACACTGAACCATGTGACTGGCGGAGAGCTGTAAACTGATATTTTAATCAGGTTTATTAACGTGGTAGTAGTGCAACTAACTGATCATGAAACCGCTGATAACTAGAACAACAATATATGAAGTTACCTTGCATCTGTAGCAGCTGACAAAATCATCAGTGTAATGGGAACATTAGCCTCGATAGCCGCTAAGCTACCTTCTGTTAATTATGATAAACTTAACAGCTAATGCTGACCACATATAAAAACATATTTTGTATATTAATAACACCTAACGTATTAAATGTTTTTTAAAAATATTTTATCAACATACCACTTAAAGTGCTTGGTAAGCAATGGAAATGAACATGATTCAATGCCGCGAATGTCAACGTTTGAACTATTTACCATCCCCAAGACCCAGAAGTCTGCCGGAAATTTCTCCGGCATTTTTCACAAGGGGTCCCAATGGGAGTTTTGGCACTGTTTTCTTCTACCGCTCTGCTACACGTAATACAGCGTAAGCACACTGCGACAGTAATGATCCTCCGAGTGAAACACGGTGATCACTGAGCGGTACATAGTCGCGTGGATTAAACGAAACATCGAAGCAAAGAATTTGCATCGGATTTTTTGCAATCGAGTTGTTACCCAATGAATCCTTGCAGCCCTAGTTGTGAGTTGTCAACAGACACAAAGCAATGTCGATAAATGCCATGTGATTACTGAGATGCACACAATTCATCACGCAGACCTAATTTTTATATTGTTTAGTAATTGCTAGCTTGCTATCATACTGGTTTATTTTGTACATGAAGTTTTTTTTAAACTTCAATCCAGCTTAGTTTTTCAACATGCTAGCTTAATCATCATTATCACTGTAACTGAACATGTACTGTGCTTGTCTCTGAGCCAGATCTAATGACTTGAATACTGTGCTTTAACATTGAAATATTGTAGTACTTTTTTTAAGTATCCAGAGTGCAGGTAATTACATAATTAGAAAGGAATTAAGTGAAGTGTTATGTTTTCCTCATTGTGACATTGAAGCTGAAACCTCTTGCTTTTTGGAGCACGTGCTGTTCGTGCAGTGGAGCTATGCTCACGAGTAGGATACGGGAGTAGCTGCATTTACGGAAGTCGATTTTTAGTGCCCTGTATTTTATATACATTCTCTCCTCTGTGTGCTCTTCCTATTGAAGGTACTGCACAGACAAGACGATGACTTTTACCAAACACTTCATGCTGAAGAATCACATCAGCCTGATGCACGGCATTAAAAACCCCGACTTCAGCCAGATGCTACAGGCAGCCCCTGAGAACAGGAAAGCCTCTGGAGAGGTAGTGACCGGAAAATTGTGACGTGTCATTGCACCCCCCCCCCCCCCCCGCCTTTTTCTTTTTCTTTTTAACTGCCACTGTTGTAAATTGTCAGCTTACAAAGGCGTGATGCAGGCTGAATTGTGCATAATGCCTCTACACCCATGCACAGGGTCCTGTGGTGAAGAGACCTTCCGATGAAGCCCTGATTGTGGGGGCACCCGACACCCCCCCCGCCAAGAGGCCCACACCCCAGTTCCGCTGCTCCAAGTGTGGCTTCACCACAGAGGACAGTGGACGCTTCCAGGAGCACATACCTCAGCACAAGGCCGATGACAGCACCCCCCAGTGCTCACACTGCGGCCTGTGCTTTACCTCCCCGCTGGCCCTCAGCAGGCACCTCCTCATTGTCCATAAGATTAAGGAGCCAGAGGAGGAACTGCAGCAGGATGAGGAGGAAGAAGAAGAAGAGGAGGATGAGGAGGAAAGGGAGCAGGAGTCATCACCTCAGGCCAGTGACGAAGAGGTCGATCCCCTCCCTGCTGGACAAGGTGGCTCCTCTTTAGCTGAGGAACCTAAGAGGTTTCATTGTGACACCTGCAGCGAGGCCTTTGGCTGTGAATCTGCTTACAGCTCCCACATGCAGACTCACAGCACCTCGCACCCAAAGGCGGTCCCTGAGCAATGATGGTAAACACCGATCCCCCCCTCCCCCCAAAAAAGCTGCTATTGCCCCTGCGTCCTGGGAGGATGAGGACCCTCAAAATGCTCAATCAGCATCACAGCGGCTTTAAACTCTTGTACCTCAGTGGAATTTGCCTTATTCTTCTACATGTATTCTGCCACGCTACAAATCACAAATCACTTACTTTAGCCGCAAACACCTACACCAAATATAGATACATTTCGAACTTCGTCCAGTTGGGTCGTTGTTGACATGTTAGGTCATTTTTCCCTCTTGGACACACAAGACTGTTAGATGATAAAGACTAGATAGACCCAGTGATTTTGGTTGAGCTGAAAACCACGTTAAGGATAATGGCTGGTTCTAAATGTGCCCAGTCACTCAGACGGTGCTCTTGCAGACTTGGAGCTGAATGTGTTCACCCATTGGAAATGTAAGCAGTATTGCAGATTTGGCGATTATCTGCATCCCAAAGTAGCAATTTCTTTGCATATCCCTCCATTGGCGATCAAAGGAAATGTATTTTAATATCTGTTCCATACCAAAAAGAATGTGTGGCTGTTGTTTTAATTTTAACGGTAATTCAGTGAACCATCCTTTGAACCGAAGTCTCACTTCCCCTGCAAGGTGATTGTGTATGGATTGCATAACACATCTGTAACAAATGTTTACTTTTAATTTTGACATGGACTTGACTGATGTCTGAATATTTAGCATACAATTGAAATTGTATATCACAGGTCTGTTTCACGTGTTTACGCAAATTAAATATTTAATGTGTGGGAAGTTGCGTGACAGCTATGAAGCATGCAGTGGGTACTTTGGGGAATTGTTTGCTTATTTCACTGATAAGCTGAATATAATCAGGATGCGGCAGTTATAAACTAATATTGTCATTTTAAATGTCCGTTGTCATTTGTAAAAGGAGATCAAAAAAAATGAAATGGTTATGATTGGGGTGGGTGTGTGATGAGCTGTGGAGTTTTGGTGAGAACAAAAATCATTTCCACCTCACCTGAACTGTGGAGACTCTTGAATGAGGTTTTTGCAGATAATTAACTATTGTACTGCTACATTTTAAAAGGAATGATTTTCCTTAATATATTATCTCCCATATTACTCAATTTTATAAATTACTTTGGAGATTTATCTAGTCATATTGACTTCTTTCCATGTGAAATTTCCATTTAAAAGCTGTATGACACGTATTCCTTTTCATGTTTGTAGTAAATGTTATTTTCCTTAAGTCCTCCCCAGTTTACTGAAGAGTGGCTAATTTAAGATATCTTGAACAGAAATTATACTCCTTTAAATATCAGTGTTTTTTGATACAGCCTCTATTCAGAGCAACTTTGTACTTTTTGATAATGTGTGGTAGTATGAAAGTTCTGGTACAGGCAAACCCCATGTACATAGCTAATAAATTTCACATGTCTATATCAGGGTTTATTTTTCCCAAGCCATTACACATCTATTTAACCGGTATTGGCCTTTGTGCCTTGCTGTTATGTTTACTTTTGATTATTTCAAATAAAATGCGTATGTCTGGATTGTGTGGGCAAGATAGTATTTCTTTATTATGAATTGTTAACCATTTTCCATTGCCTTTTCTATAACTGAAAGCGATATTGAGGTATTGCTGCTAAAATGATTTATTAGTGGGCTATTTTTTAAAAGCTCATTGTATTACCTTGTTTGTGGAAGCCTGAGCACCGTAATTTTTTGCGGATTCAACCTTGTACATAAAGTTTTCGGCTAATTCTTTTTAATCAGGTGATATCAGTTAATCTGCGTTTTGCCATGAAATTGGCAGCAGGAAAATCTATCCATCATTAGCAGGTATTAAAAAGGATCATATTTGTGTATAGTCTGTATTTTAGCGTCCATAAATTGGTTTCACATGGAAAAAGTACAAACGCTCAACTTGGAGAGAGACTATTTTAGCCAGCTAACACATTTCGCTGATACGCGCACCTTTGACCTGATTTTTAAGACGCCTAGCATAGGTCCCTAGAAGACAAACCAGACCATTAGTCCCGAATGGCAAGGAACACGCATTTAATCTGTTTCTAAATATAGGTATCTTTGCAATATCGAATCGGTGTATTTCTGTCTGTGCCGACGAGCGAAATAGAGTTAATAAAGTGTATCCGGCGTGCAAGCACCGGCAGCTCGGTCTGCACCCTCCCCCGCACGCTCACTTTGTCGGGGCTCAGCGCTGTCTGGTCCCGGCAGACACCGACCATGCTGTCCTTGGGTCTCCTGGACGATGCGCCGCGGATACAAAAGCGCCAGGTATGGGTAATTAACTTAGTTAAGCGGTGTGCTTGGGGTGTTCAGCTGGCTCATTTGGCGCTGTTTTCCGGGAAGGTCGGAGCGTACAGTGCGGGGAGCTGCACCGCCGAAAAGAAGTAAATGTGGAATGATGCATAACTGGAAACGTCTATTAACGACCATCAGCTCATGGTGTAGCATCGCTAACAATAAAATCACTAAAGTCGTAAGTAAACTAGTCTCATTCATGCACGAATATAGGATGATATATATTTTTAAAATGGCATATGTCACCTTTGGATGGTGCTCTGAATTTATGTCAAATGTACCAAGAACCAAAATAACTTACTTAATATGCACAAAATGAGCAAATATTGGGTTGGTAAGTCGACTATTGTGTTAATTAGCGTTTAATTTAGCTAATAGTTCAGAGTTATAGGCCTAATAGTTTTGTAATATAAATTATAAAAGACTTCTCTGCTTCATGTGTCTCAAGGCTAGTCTTGTACAATTGTTTTCTCTTGTACATTTTTTCAGAATTAATGACATATACATGTACATTATTCTATTATGCTCCCTAACCATGTCACCTCATGTTGTCAAGCCAGCGCTGTACCGCATAAAGACAATGCTTCATGTGTGTACAGGAGTATTTAAAAAATACGCAGAGTGGTCTCTATACTGCACAGTTGGATTGACATCATCCACTAAAATGGTTGAATCGCGTAATAGTTCCTTATTTTTAATGTCAAATGAATGTTGAATATTTAATATTTAACGCTGTTAGAGAGATGGCTAGTTTATTGTAACGATATTAAGCTATTTGCAACCAATCACGCAGACATGTGTATTCAGACATTTTAATAACTTCTCTTTAATCGCTCAATTAAAGTCATAATTTATTTATTCTAAGTCTGATTCTCTCAAATGTTATAGATTCAAACAATTAAATACCGATCTAAATGTAAAGCTGCAGGTTATTACGATCCTGTCTGTAGCGGGTTGCTGTTGTGTTTCTACTGATAACTTGTCTGTATTTGAATTTCGGCTTTATTACCAGGTACTGAACTTTAGTGTGATTGTATCCTCTGCAATTATGATCTTGAAAGGCTTGATGGTTGTAACTGGCACTGAGAGCTCAGTTGTTGTTGTTCTCAGGTCAGTATTTAATTCCATATCCTCCCCACAAATAACATGTTTGGTATTAATTTAGGTCTGTGCGTAAATGTATTTTGTTGGCAGTGGGAGCGTGGAGCCAGCCTTCCATCATGGAGACGACCTGTTCCTGACCAACAACACGGAAAGTCCCATCAGAGCTGGAGAAACCGTGGTCTTCAGGATCGAGGGGAGGGAAACCCCTATAGTTAAGGGAGTGCTCAAAATTCACGAGAATTAAGTCCGGACATCACAGGAATGTACAGCAGCAGGGGCGATTCCAGGATGTGACCCCCCCCAAAAAAAATTAAAAATAATAATAATTAGTCAGGCCTGATTAATTAGGCAAGATCCAGCGAGTTATGAGTATTGTGAGAATCCACACATAGGTATTGTTACAATTCTAATGAATGATTGTCCAAAATTCAAGGTAAAATTTTCTCCATTCGAACAACAATTCTGAATACATGTTGTACTGACGTAATACATGTCGCCTTAGCATAAACTGTGGAGTTGTAAAGTTGATTGTTTCCTGTCCTCAGTATGCCGTCCTCTTCCTGCTGGGCCTTTTCGTGCTGGTACATCGTGACTGAACAACTGGGAAAACACCAGGCTTTACTGCATTCTTCTATAATCCAGGAGGGGTTACAAATTGGAACATTTGCTCTTTGTACTTGCTACTGTTGCACCTATTGGTCAGTGATAATAGGAGAAATTAGGCTTTAACATTCATAAATGGTGTCAGGTCCTGCCCATTAATGATTGTTTTAAACTACATTGACTACCTCTGATTGGTCTGAAGAGTGTTAATTCATTTTCTATAAATGCACATGCAGTGCCAGCCAAGCAAATTTCACGGTAATAAATCAACGTGCTACTATAATCTTCAAGTCTATTTAAGTAAAGGGTCAATGCCAGACAAGCCATGCATTATACGTTTTTGAACACATAAAAAATAAAACCACAGTTGCAACGCATTTGTCATATATGTTTGTGTCACAGGACATTATCTTCACATTTAGGAGCTGAAATGCATAAGATCATCCAGGGAGATTTCAGTGGTAATTTTGTGTAGAGATCTTACCCCCAGCATTTCTGAACTTTTCTCTATTGTAACGCTTTGGAATTGGCCATTGGCCTTAGCAACAGGCAATTTGGAAGTAATGACTGGCTTAGGGTCTTAGCGACGGACAAATTTCAAATGAATGACAGTGACTTGCGTTGTAGCTAATCATTGGCAGAAGAAGTAGTTTTACTAATAAATCCATTTTTAGCTCGTAAATGTAACAATAATGTCTTTAGGTACAAATGTGTAGTGACCGTGGTATAAGCGGGTAAATGCACCCCAAGCCACCCGTTATACATTTTTAAACACGCGCCACATCAAGTGCGTGTAGCGTAACAGTGAGCAGCTACATCAGACGATAATGTCAAATGGCATATTAAGTAACACAGACGGTATATAGTGAAAAAAGATAAATATGATTGTGGCCCAGATGGTAATACTGTTGCCTCGCACCTCCAGGCCTAGCGGTTCGAGTCCCTCCTCTGTGTCTCTGGAGTGCTTGTGCTCCTCATGTTACGTGGCTTTCCTTTGGGTTTCCTGGTTTGCAGTCCCAGGACATGTAGATTGCCCTTAGCGTTTGATTACGTCTGTATGTGCATTAGATCCTGACTAACATATTGTCCCCCCCCCCCCAACCCTGAGCAGGAATATTAGAAGATGAATAGAATAACTGGAAAGGAATTGTATGGCTAAAATGAATAGCTAATTGGGAGTGTTTTTGAGATTGCGCAAGTGATCAGCAGCTTATTCTGCAGTGCCGTTATATGTTTGGAGACCCATACACCCCAGGAGGCATATCTTTGGTAAATATGAACAGAGGTCAGATGCAGGACTGACCTGCCAATAGCTGGAAAGGACAAGCCTTGTCAGAAGGCCTTAGGCAACGCACAAAATTTTCATTATGTTTTACAAGCATAAGATAAGCATAGAAATCTGGCAAAGCTGCAGCTAGCATTACAAAATAAACTCGAATGTAGAACTCACTTGGTCAAATGTAACTCAGCCAGCTTCCCTATGGGTGTTTACTGTATCTTTGGGAAGGTTTGTTTATAAACAGTTACTGTATTACACGGGACAGGATCTGGGCCCTGGATGGATGGATGGATGGATGTGTGTATTACATGGATGCACAAAGTGCTATACTAGATGAACGTTTCTTCTACAGTTGATTTGTTTTGGATATCTGCAGGAACTATATTTTATAGCTATTTTGCATTTGATTTAAAATGTGTCATTTTAGCTGTCAGAATGATATTGCTGAATTAAACATGTCACAGTAGCTATACTGTGAACCAAGCTTTTGTGGATTAGTAGGGTGACTTGGCTATGAACAGGGGAGACAAACAACGCAGGGTAAACATTACACAGAGAGACCCTACCTCTCAGAAGTTTGGTATCACTCAGAATATTTCACGTTTTCCATGAAACACTTTCATTCATCAGATAAGTTACAAAATGAATGGAAAATATCAAGATATTGATAAGGTTAGAAATAATGGTTTTTCGCTTGAATTAATTATGTGCTTCAAATTTGCTTTCATCAAAGAATCCTTCATTTGCAGCATTGATAGCTTTGCAGACCTCTGACATTCCCACTGTTGATTTTTTTAGGTAATCTGCAGAAAATTCACTCCATGTTTTCTAAAACACCTCCCACCAGTTGGATTGACTTGATGGGTATTTGTACAGTCAAGCTGCTCCCACAATAGCTCAATAGGGTTGGTCTCCGGTGACTATTCTGGCTCGTCTATTACAGACCGAAAACCAGCTTACTGCTTCTCCCCCAAAAAGGTTTTGCATAATTTGGAGCAGAGCTTTGGTCACTGTTGTACGGTGGAATTGTAGGATTCCTGTCACACCGTACAAATATCCTGCCCCCCAAGCAAAGCCCCCCCACACCATCATATTTCCTCCAACATGCTTGACAGATGGCATCAAACATTCCTCAAAGCATCTTTTCATTTGTCCTGTGTCTCACAAATGTTCTTCTATCTGATCCAAACACCTCAAACTTAGATTTTATAACACTTTTTTTTTGCCCAATCATCCTCTGTCC